TGCCCGGCCCCAGGGCCTCCCGCCACTGGCCTGATGCCTTGTCTCCGGGACAGAGCGCGGGCCCCCGGGGAGCGGGCTCCTCTGCCCCCGGCAACAGCCTCTTTCTCCCTCGAACTGACGCCTCCCTTCATCTCAAGCGGCTCCCTTGCTTCAGTTTCCCCGACCAGAGGCCAGAGGGGCCTCCGCGCAGGGAAGACACAGGCGGTGCCCCGTTTCAGAGACGCCGCCTCCCGCCTGCGCGCACTTCGCCCGCTCTGCGAGGAGCCACCTGCCCGTCACCACCTGGCGACACCGGCTCTCAGCAGCCTGGCTCCTCCGCCGGCCAGGCTCGGGCGGCCGCTCCTCCACTCAACCAGCACCGTGACGGCCTGCGGCCTGGACACTGGGGTCCAAGCCCCCCAGGACGTGCGGTTTGAGATGTTCGTTCTGCTGTGTGCCCACAGCCCAGGGACGTGCCCCACCCACCACACCGCACCCTCTGTCCAGCTCATCAGTCCGCTGTCCGCGCACCAGAGCGGGAGCTCCTTGCTCCCACTTCTGGAGGGTCCGCAGCTCCCGGCTCAGACACACCGGACCGGTGGCCCACGCTGCCCTGTGCCCCGTATGTGTGTGCCCGAGCAGCCTCCCCTCCCACAGTGGCGTGCTCATGCCACGCCTGGCAGAGTGGACACTAATAAATGGCTACTGCCCTTGTCCCCACTGCTGTCGCCGCCAAAACCCTGCAGGAGAGCCTGGAAAGAAAAATCCCAACGCACGAGGCTGCAGCGGCCCGGGAAGACTGAGCCAGTCACATCCAGGTGACACTCCTGTCACTGCCCAAGCCCCCGTGGGCGACGTATTCTGACCGCCGACTGCACTGAGGACAGGTGATGCTGTTCAGGACACGCCAACATAGAAATGGGGAGACTGAGGCGCAAAGCACTGAATGATTTGCAAGAGTCACATAGTGGTCAAGATCCAGGCTCTTGAGGTGGACAGGGCACGTGTGCCATCCCTCGGCTCGACCCCTCAGCCCCGGCCGGCTGTCTGGTGATCTGCAGTGGCCGGTGCTGAGCTCTCGGGCGTCGAGTGCTGCCCCCCCAAAACCCCCCAACCCCAGGGCCGGTTTACCTGGGAGGGGCTGGAACACGCCCTGGTTCTCCACCTCAACCGCCAAGTCAAAGTGGGAGCAGTCGCTCAGGGTGGCCGCCTCGCTGGCCGCTCCGGGCATCAGGCCGCTGATCCTCAGGGGCAGCTCCAGGGTCTGGCCCACTCGAGCCTCCACCTGGCAGGGGGCGAACTCCATGCTGCTGGGCTCGATCACGTACACCTGCAGGGGAGGGCGCCGCTGGGGTCACCGGCCTCCACGGGGAGGACCAGCCTGCCGCTCCGACGGCAGAGGCGCCGCTTGGTGCTGGACGCGCGGACACGCCAGCGGGGAGACGGAGCTGGGCACACGATGGAGGTGCTGGGACTGGGTGACGGTCAGGGACGGGCTGCCGGGGAAGGCGTCTCTGAGCTGGCAGGCCCTCGGGCCGGAGCGTCGCGTCCGGCGGCAGGAAGGAGAGGCGACTGTGCAGGCCTGCAGGGGGCTGCAGCACCCTCAGTGGCGGGAACAAAGAGCTGGAGCCGGCAGCCGCTCCCTGCCCGCCTGTGCCCGTGCAGGTGCTGCCTTCCAGCCCCTCTCCCTCTCCAGGGCGGCTGCCTCCGGCCAGCCCGTGACCTGCACCTGCCGGGGCTTCTCCGCACTGACCCCTGAGCGGAGGCCGCTCTCCTAGGCCGCCCGCCTGCAGCCACGCAGGCCTCTCTGCAAACCTGTCCCTCTCGGGGCGGCTCTTCCTGCCCGCTTGTGCCTTTTCCTCTCCTGTCTAGTTCTAATAAACCAACTTAAAAAAAAAAAAAAGAGCTGGAGCCCCGAGGGCAGAAGGGCAGGTCACCTGTGCCCTTGTGGCCGCAGCCAGGAGCGTTTTCGCTGCAGCTGGGTGGGGAGCTGCAGGTTCCGGCCACCTGGCCGGCGGGGGAGTCACAGCCAGGTAGCGAGTGAAGAGGCTGCTGGGAAACTACAGCGAGAGCAGGTGATGGAAGCCTGAATGGGGGAGAGCGGACAGCAAGCTGGACGACGACCAGGGGCAGCTCCCGCCACACCAAGGACCACACAGGCAAAGCCACTCACCCAGCCAAGCTCAGCTAAGCTGGCACCTCCGGGCCCCAAGGTGCCGCTACAGCCCCGGGGCCTGACAGGAAGCTGCGGGCGCAGGCGCTGCCGTCACCCAGGGCTCTCGGGAGAGTGGTCAGCCCGCAGGGAGAGGGGACGGGGGCAGCCGGTGCTGACTGACACAAGGAGCTCGGGGGTGGGGGAGAGCAGGGCAGCCGGTCACCCCAAGTAGGTGGCAACCACGGGTAGCTAAAGGAGCTCGCTACGCCCCCTCTGTGGGAGAGGCGGGTGCCTGCGTGGCCATCAAGGCCTTCGCCAGAGTGGCGTGTCCAGCGGCGTCCCTCAAACACGCGGTCGGGACCAGACGCCGCACAGAGCGCTGCCCTGAGCAGGGCAGTGAGGGGCAAGGTGAGGTCGGGCGCCGGGAGGGGCAGGTGGGTGGCGGCCCTGCTCCCGGAACCGGTCTCGGCCCGGGCTCCCAGGGTCCAGCCCGGACCTGGTGCAGGCTATTCCTGACCGGACCTCACCGGGGACGAGGGAAGGCGGCTGGGCCGGAGGCGCAGTCTGAGCACTTCCCTCTCGCCGCGGACTCCAGCCCACCCCGGAGCCCCGCCAGGGTGGGGACCCCTATCTCCAGGCCTAGGAATTTTCCAGACTGACTATTCCCCTTCTCGAAACCCCGTCCACACCAGCCGGGCCCACCCCTGCCAAGAGTCCGATGCCAGCCCCTCCCTCGCCTGGCTGGCCACGGCCTTCTCGGCGTCAGGGCTGGGGCCGCACGCTCCAGCTCTCACCTGCACCAGGTGCCAGGGCGGAGCCAGCATTAGGCCTGAGGGCCGGGCAAGAGGGGGCTAGAGACCGCCCCCGGGGCGCCCCTCCGCTGAGCTGTCCCGGCCCGCAGGCTCACCTTCATCTCGCCAAAGTGGAGCGGGTTCTGCACGTCATGTGCCTGGATGACACTGAAGCCGGTGTCGCTGCCCGTGGTCATCACGCCCTTGAC